ATTCCAAAATTCTTATTGCCATTTTACCCATTAAAGCTTATTGATAGCTATTTGAGTTAGTAAAGGGCAGGTAGGTGGTACAGTGAGTAGAGTATAGGGCCTGGAGTTAGGAAGACTCATTTTCCTGAGTTCAAATCTGGTCTCAGACATTTACTAGCTGTGTAACCCTGGGCAAGTCATTTAACTCTGTCTGCCTCAGTCTCCTCATCTGTAAAATGAGATGAAGAAGGAAATGGCAAACCACTCCAGTGTCTCTGCCAGGAAAACCCCAAATGGGGTCACAGAGTGTCAGACATAACTGAAAAATAACTGAATAACAAAATGGTGGCTCTGTTGATGGTATGGATTTGATTTGGTCACCTCTCAAGTCCCTTCTAACTGAGATTTTATCACTCTCTTGATTTTGATTCTAGTGTGCTGATTCCCCAGATAGCACTGTTCTCTTTGTGTACTTAATAAGGCCCAAATACATATCAGTCACCATCATCATCACTATCATCCTCATCCTTATCCCCCAACTCCCATCATAGCCATCTGAAAGTGTTCTCATGCCTATAATGTTCTTCCTTCTCACCTTCGCATCTTAAAATACCTTATTTCTTTCAAGAATCAGTTCAAAGGGGCAGAGTCAAGATGGTGGAGAAAAGGCAGAGACTTGCCTGAGTCTTCCCAAATTTCCCTCCAAACAGCTTTAAATAATGCCTCAAAATGAATCCTGGAGCAGAACCTACAAAAGGATGGAGTGAAACAATTTTCCAACGCAAGACAACTCAGAAAGTTGGTAGGAAAGGTCTTTCTTATTGGGGTCAGAATAGAGTGCAGTCCAGTATAGACTGAGTCCCAGAAAACCATCTCAGGGTGACTGAATCAGCTGTGGCAGCTGTCAGAGCTCTCAGCCAATAGATGGCAAGGGAACTCTTTTGCTGACACTGGGCACAAGACTTGTTGCTTCTGAAGCCAGAATTCTCCCAAGTTTTATGATAGGTGGGTTGGAACTAGGAGGTTACACATCCCTATGTTGCTCCTATGCAGATGTGGGTCATAGTCTGGGTCATAGTTGCATGGCCAGAAGGAGCACTAGCACACCAGAGCTTGCAGGATCCTTGTCATAGCTCCAGGGCAGAGAAGAATACTTGTGGTCACTCACAGACCAGAGCACAGGCCAGGAGAGTGTTAAACACATCTCTCCTTACATCATACCACCTTGAAAGAACTAAAAACTCCCAGAACTAGCTCTAAAAACAGCTGCATAAAAATCTTGAAGGTAGGAACTGTGCTCCTTCTACCACAGGAGCAGAATCCAACTTTAACATCAAGTTAAAAATTAAGAAACAGGCTGGAAAAATGAGCAAACAATAATAAAAAGAACCTGACTATAGAAAGTCACTATGGTGACAGGGGACATGAAAACATAAATTCAGAAGACAACAAAACAGCTATATCCAAAGCCTTGCAGGAAAATGCAAATTGGTCTCAGGCCCAAAAAGAATTTTTGGAATAGTTTAAAAAGCATTTTAAAAGTCAAGTAAGTGAAGTAGAGGAAAAATTGGGAAAAGAAATGAGAATGATGCAAGAAAATCATGAAGAAAGAGTCAACAGCTTGGTAAAAGAGGCACAGAAAATACTGGAGAAAATCATAACTTAAAAAAAAGGTCAAATGGTAAAAGAGGCATAAAAATCCGAAGAAGAACTCCTTAAAAAAGCAGAATTTGCCAAATGAGAAAGGAGGTACAAAAGCTCACTGAAAAAGATATTTCTTAAAAATTAGAATTGGGCAAGTGGAAGCTTACAACTCCATGAAACATCAAGAAATAATAAAACAAAATCAAAAGAATGAAAAAATAGAAGAAAATGTGAAATATCTCATTGGAAAAATTACTGACCTGGAAAACAGATCCAGGAGAGATAATTTAAAATTATTGGACTACTTGAAAGCCATGATAAGAAAAAAAAAGCCTGGACATCATGTTTCAAGAAATTATCAAGGAAAACTGCCCTAATATCCTAGAACCAGAGGCTAAAATAGATAGGAAAAGAATCCACTGATCACCTCCTGAAAGAGATCCCCAAATGAAAACTCCCAGGAATATTCTAGCCAAATTCCAGAGCTCCCATGTCAAGTAGAAAATATTGCAAACAGCTGGAAAGAAACAATTCAAATATTGTGAAGTCACAGTCATTATAACACAAAGTTTAGCAGCTTCTACATTAAAGTATCAAAGGGATTGGAATGTGATATTCTGGAGGGCAAAGGAGCTAGGATTACAACCAAAAGTCACCTACATAACAAAATTGAGTATAATCTTTAAGGAAAAAAATAGATATTTTATGAATAAGACTTCTAAGCATTCCTGATGAAAAGACCAGAGCGGAATAGAAAATTTGACTTTCAAATACAAAACTCAAGCATAAAAAAGTAGAAAGAGAAATCAAAAGAGATTTGGTAAAGTTAAACTGTTTACATTCCTACACGGGAAGATGATACTTATAACTCCTAAGAACTTTCTCATTATTAGGGCAATTAGAACATAGACATAGACAGAGGACATGGGTATAAATTCAATATGATGGGATGATGGCTACATAAATAAAATTAAGGAATGAGAAAGATGAATGCATTGGGAGAGGGAAAAGTAGAGGTAGGATGAGGTAAATGATGTCATATAAAAGAAGCTCAAAAGAGCTTTTACAGTGGAGGGGAAGATGGAGGATGTGAGAGGAAGCACTTGAACCTTACTCTTATTGGAATTGGCTCAAAGTGGGAATAAGATACACACTCAGTTGGGTATAGAAATCTATCTTACCCTGCAAAAAAGTAGGAAAGGAAGTGGATAAGAGAAGGGAGAGTGGATTGGGAAGGAGGTAGTCAGAAGCAAAACACTTTTAAGGATGGACAGGTAAAAGGAGGGGGAGGGGAGAGAGAGAGGGAGAAAGGGAGAGAGAGAAAGAGGGAGAGAGGGAGAGTGAGAGGAGACAGGGGGGAAATAGGATGGAGGGAAATACACAGTGATCAGAACTTTGAAAAAAAATTTATAGCAAATTTCTCTAATAAAGGTCTCAATTCTCAAATATATAGAGAACCAAATCAAATTTACAAAAACAAGAGCCATTCCCCAATTGATAAATGGCCAAAGGATATGAATAGACAGTTTTCAGTAACCTAATCAAAGCTATCTATAGTCATATGAAAAAAATGCTCTAAATCACTATTGATTCGAGAAATGCAAATTAAAACAACTCTGAGGCTATCAGATTGGCTAACATGACTGAAAAGGAAAATAACAAATATTGGAAGGGATGTGGGAAAATTGGGATATTAGTGCATTGTTGGAGTTGTGAACTGATGCAACTATTCTGGAGAGTAATTTGGAACAATGCCCAAAGGGCTATAAAACTGTGTATACCCTTTAACCCAGCAATACCACTACTAGGTCTGTATCCCAAAGAGATAAAAAAAAGGAAAAGGACCTATATGTACAAAAATATTTGTAGCAGCTCTTTTAGTGTTGTCAAAGAATTGGAAATTGAGGGGATGCTCATTAAGTGGGTAATGAATGAACAAGTTGTGGTATATGATTGTGATAGAATAATATTGTACTATAAGAAATGACAAACAGGATACTCTCAGAAAAACCTAGAAAGACTTGCTTGAACTGATACAAAGTGAAATGAGCAGAACGTGGAAAATATTGTACACAATAACAGCAATATTGTAGGATGATCAATTGTAAATAACTTAGCTATTCTCAGCAACATAATGATCCAAGACAATTCTGAAGGACATATGATGAAAAATGCTATTTGTCTCCAGAGAAAGAACTGATGGAGTCTGAATGGATTCTCCACCAATAGAATATATGGACTTTGAGGGAAGGAATTATTTCACTTTTTCCTTTTTGTTCCCAGACCCTATCATAGTACCTGACAAATAGTAAGTGGTTAATACATATTTGTTGACTGACTGGTGGAGGATAGGGCAAAGAGAACCAGATCAGTGGGGATATTCATTTTTATAATTTACCAGTTAGAAATTCCGAAAATCTCCCATGAAATGCCACGTGAGGATGTTCTAGGAGTGTAACCTCCTAGTTCCAACCCACCTATCATAAAACTTGGGAGAATTCTGGCTTCAGATTTGTAAGAGTAATAATTAAGAACAGGAACAAGAATAACAAAAATATTTATATAGCACTTATTGTTGTTGTTTGTCCCTTGTTCTTGAAGAGGACCATGACATCAGGGAGGTGATTCCATGACATTCATATAACTATCAAGAACTTTGACACAATTTTCTTGTTGTTGTTGAGTTGTGTCAGTCATGTCTGACCCTTAATAATTCCATTTGGGGTTTTCTTGGCAAAGATAATAGAGCTATTTGCCATTTCCTTCTTCAGTTCATTTTACAGGTGAGGAAACTGAGGAAATTGAAATGTGGCTAAAAGACTTGTCTACAACCATAAAGGTAGTAAGTGATAGAAGCAAGATTTGAACCCAGATCTTCTGAAATCAAAGTCAGCCCTCATTTGGCTATACTCCAATGCCTTATTCTCCACCTTGCTTTAGGGTACTTATTCCCTTCTTCCCCACTCTGCTTATTAATCCCTCATTCATGTTTGTAGCTCCCTTGATGGCCAGTACTATTTATTCTCAGTAAATAGTTGTTGAATTGAATGGATCTCCTATTTTAAGAATATCTGCACACAGAAAAATTAAGTTATTTGTGGTACCCAGGTATTTATTCCCCAACACTAAGAAGAAGGGTAGATGGTAATAATCATTGTCATCAGGTAACACACAGAGCTTTTCAAAGAATTTTAGAATCATTGTATGCAACATGTAGCTTCCAAGAAGAATCGAGACTTGTCCCACAAACCAAAATGAAATATTAACATGAAAAATATTTGCATCTGAAATTGAAATTGTGAAGTTGACCTAGTTACACATCTATCTTTCCCTCCCCCACCTTATTTGTTACCTTTTTATGATCAGAGGTATGAGACTTGAAGGGATAAAACTTGTGGTGAGGTAGTTCACCACACTATCTTGTTTGCTGGGTGTAAAAATGAGAGAGAAATCACACGAGGCTTTAGATGAGAAAGGAGCCCCAAGATGTCCCAAGTAAAGCTGTCATTTTCATAGCATAAATTCAAAAGTTTGGCAACTGAGAAAACATCCATTTATGTGTTAACCCTGGTTGAGAAAAGTCTGAAGTTCTGTGGAAGCGAGTCAGAGACCTAAAGACAGCATTCTTTGTTGGTAAGTGGTACTTTTTGCTTCTCTTTCCTCATGGGATTTTTTTTTTTGGTACTATATTATTTTAAAATCTTCGTATTTTGGCCAAGTATATCATGTAAATTTATAGCTTGAAGTATACCAGTATACCAGTCAGTCAATGATATTTCTTGACTATCTAGTCTATTATTAGGCAATATTGGGGAGGGGGATGTGCATGCATGTGTATGTATATATGTGTATGTGTATATATACATATATACATACACACAAACACATACACATACTAAATACATATACATACACACATATACCATACATCCATAACCAAAGGGCCAGCATGTTGTGGAGAGAATGCTGAATTGGGAAGCAGAAGACTCTACTTGTGGCTTTCCTGCTCACCAACCGGTAAGTCACTTGACCTTTTCCACCTTATAAAATGAGGATGGAATAGATTATCACTAAGTTTGTTATTCAAAAGTGCAATGGACTCCCTTGAGAGGTGGTGGGTTTCCCCATCGCTTCAAGCAATAGATGGTTAACTGCTTGTCAGGCATACTGGAGGGAGGGTTTTTTTTTCAAGGATGGGTTAGAATAGGTGGCCATTGAAGTTTGTTCTGACTCTTAGATGCAGTGATTCTGTAATTACATGCTTTAGTTAAGACTCTTTGCTAGCTCCACATTCTGGGAATCTATAATTTCAAGTGCCCCCTGTCCTCAAGAATCTAATTTAGATAGATAGGGCTAGAATATGTGATGGAGATTTAAGAATATCTATAAAGAAATGTACAAGCTGGTGCAAATTAACATGGGGGCAATTTTGTATGTATGCTTATGTATGGGATGTGATGAGAAATTAATAATACTGGTTCCATGTGGCACACATACACAGTATCATTGCTTTAAAATTTCATCTTTTGGTAGAATAAAGGTACTGAGGGATGATCATGACAAAGTGGGGCTAATCATGGAAAGAGTCATAGATGTGGGAACTTTTGAGCTGAGTTTTCAAAGGGGAGAGATGGGAACTGGCAGCAAGTAGACAGAAGGGCACTGCAGGTAAATAGAACAAGATACTGGTCTCACAGAGGTAGTAGCAAGTTGGGTGAAGGATGAAAAATGTGTTAGACTAGCAGAAACTCAAAAAGAATGTGTGGAAATAGCAAAAAGCAGTGAAGATATTGACATGTAGAGCATAAAAGAGTACAGTGAAGAGAATAGATAAACATAATAGCAACAATGGACATTTTCATTGGACTTTGAGGTTTGCAGGGCTCTACATATGTCATCTTATTTGAGCTTCATAACAATCCTCTGTGGTAGAGAATTAATATTCCCACTTTACAGATGATGAAACTAAGGCTCATAGAGTATAAACAACTCATTCAGTTTAATGAAACTAGTAAATTTAGATAATGGGATTGAAACCCAAGTCTTTTCTAGCTTTAAGAGCAGAATTCTTTTCGCTTCCCACGGGCCCTGTGGAGCTATGTCCATAGGTAATAATAACTCAACCTAAATGGTTAACATTCCTACTGAAGAGAACTCATACTGCTGTAATTCAACAAGGCCTAGAAAAAGAAATGTTTAAGATTGCAGACTCCATCTCCCCCGCTGAAATGGAAGAAACCATGATCCATCAACTGAAAGGTCTGCAGGTGTCTGAAACAAGCCACAAAAATGGGCAGCAGTTAATTTTGTCATTTCAGTAAATGGGATTAGAGAGACATTAGTGGCCATTGTGTTACTTCAGCTACTTATTTAATTTATTTAGAAAGATTACAGCATGGCCTCAGAGGTGATCTGCTCCAGCCAGAACTTGAGAATTATTGTAGAATGGAGACCCTGCTCCTGAGAGATCTTATGTTCCAACATTCAAGTCTGACATCTGGGTTGATCTCATTTTTTAGAACTAAATATTATAGTGTACCATTCTGTTGCAGTATTCACTATTTTTAAAAAATAGAAGAGAATATTACCAAACTGAATAGATAGGAGTACATTTTTTTTCACTAAGATTTTCAGGGAGCAGTTAATTCCCTTAGCTGCTCTGCAATATACAACTACGTACTCAATTGAGTGTTTATGTTTGCTTCCAAAGCTAGCATACATTTATATATCATTTATTTATTTCCTTTAATGAACTTTTAGTTACAATAATGTGGGATAAATCTTGTATACAGTGTATCCCCCACCCCTCCAGGATAGTATAAGCTTCTTGAAAGTAGAAATTGTTTTTTCTTGTGCTAGAAGCTCTTGTGCCTAGCACAATGCTTGGAACATGGAAGACAATAAGTGCCTGGAGAATTGGAGTGAATTGAGAGATAGAAAGAACTAGACAGAGTATCTAACATCATAAAATCATATGTTTTTACTTTATCTTTCCAAGATCCAGAATACAAACACCTCGCTTATCACGAGAATACTTTAAACTTCAACTCCCTGAGAGAGAGCCAAAAAAGACATCAGGAAAAAGGAAGGGGAAGCACATTTTAAAAAACGTGTTATCTGCATAGTAAAAATAGATGGCACATTGTCCATGCGCTGAGACTCATATGCCTTACTCACGGTCAAAAACCTCAAACTCTGGCTCAGAATCTCTTGACTCTTACTTGGGAAATAGTTCTAACAAGCGTTGTTTCTTTGGTGTCCTGACAAATAACAGATTAGAGGCAGCAAATGAAATGAAATATGGGGATAAGACATATTGATCAGAGCCAGAATTAACAGCTCACAATCTGATCATGAGGGAGGAAAGTGCAAAAACTAAAAAAGCTGGCACAAGGACTCGAAACTCACGGTTGGGGAAATTGATTGTGAAACTATTATATACACTTCAATAGTGTATAGGGCACACTGGTCACCTTAATATAGCCTTTTTCCCTAAAAAAAATGGCTTAAAAAGCATTAATTTCAGCTCTTAAAAGGGGGGACTTCAGTTATTTGAAAAAATACATATAGATTAACTGATTTTCTGACTGTCAGGAAAGAATGCATAATTACAAATGAGACAGTTAAGTTACAGATCTTTGTCAGTGGAGGGAGTCTCTACACTGAGAGTTCCTTCTCACTGATAAAATCATGAGTCCAGGCCACACCATCTTTCCCTGCCAAAGTATTAGTGGTGATCCAGTCCTTAAGTTCAAAAAGGACCACCATCAAAATTCTAAGTCAGAGCTATTGGGACAACTTTTTTTAAAAGTATAATCTTGCTTTACTTTTTTTTTTCTTTTATTATTTATTTTCAGATAAAGTAGAGAATGATGGTAGGGCAGAGTACTTGAAGAAGGAGAAGGTATTAACCAAAGGAAAGAAAACACAGATAATAGAAAAAAAAAGATGGAGGGGCACGTAGAAGTGGGTCTTAGCATAATAGAATAGAGCAAATAAAATAGAGGAATTCAATTAGTTCACAACTATTTATTAAGCACTTACATGCTTGGCCTATTCAAAGATAGGCAAAAGTAGCATGCATTCTAATGGGGGAGATATGTAAATAAATACATTCAAGATTATAAACAAATCGGAAAGAGGAAGACATTAACAGCTGTGAAAACAACAGAAGAAGGAAGTGGGAGGGTAACCATGGAAAGTGATCGAGTGGGCAGGACAAATCAGAAAGGTGGCAATAGTTCAGATAACATCTTATTAGAACAAGAGCAGTAGGAAGGACTAGAACCTAGAATGGACGAATCAACTTTAACCTGTCAGCACTAGCCAAAAGGGTAAAGTGTAATTTGTGCAATGCCCTCCAAACTCCTCCTCCAATATCTTTCTCTTCCTTGTTGGTGACATCCTTCCTAGGAACTCAGCGTTCAGAATCCCCTACCTAGTGTTTCTTCTAAAAAACAGTAATTTGGTAAATGAATAATACCTGATGGTGATGCTGGTAGTGTCTTAATGTGATTAGTCTAGATGTCCCTGGAAGAAGCACCATGTTATTGTGGAAGGACCACAGGATTGAGAGTTGGGTTTCACTCTTTTTATTCCCATTTACCTGCTGTTTGACCCTGGACAAGCCTCTTCATGTCTCTGGGCATCCATCAGTGTCCCTATTGGTAAAGTGAAGAAATTGGACTAGGTGGTCCTTAAGGTGATTCCTTCTAGCTCTGGTATTCTATATAAAATGAAAGACTTATGGGGCAGCTAGGTGGCACAGTGGATAGAGCACCGGCCCTGGAGTCAGGAGGACCTGGATTCAAATCCAGCCTCAGACACATAATTCTCACTAGCTGTGTGATTCTGGGCAAAGTCACTTAACCCCAACTGCCTCACCAAAAAAAATGAAAGACTTATTAATACAGAGCCATAAAAAGGGTGAGGAAAGTGCCTGCCTTGGAGGTGAGGTGCAAACATACATACACATACATACATACATACATATACATATATGTAGATTATATACATGTATATACATACACAAATACTCACACTCATTATATATACATACATACATACATACATACATATATATATATATAAAAATGCGTATATGTATGTTAGACATAACACACACATAAAAAGCCCTTCACAACCTGGCCCCAACCTATCTTTCTAGCCTTATCGTGCAATAGTCTCCTTCATTCACTCTATAGTCCAACTAAACTGGCTTTCTCCCTATTCCTCACACATCTCTAAATTTATCTCTGAATTCCATGCCAGGCAGATACCCTCTCCTCACTGCTGACTCATAGAATTTCTGATGTTCAAGATTAAACTTTAGCACCATCTTCCATGTAAAGCCATTACTGACTGCCCCCCCCCCGCCCCAGCCTGAGCAAATTCTTGTGTCCTCCTTTCTTCACTACCTGGCATTTATTTCGTATGTAAGTATATGGTGAATATATGTATAATATATATGTAAATGTATATGTACACATGTATATATATATATGTATATGTGTATGTGTATATGTGTGTATGTGTGTATATATATGTATTCCATTGAGGGAGATAGTAATTTTATATATATATATGTATAATTTATATATATTATAATTATATATATATATATAACTTTATGT